ATTGCATTATACAGTATTTACCAGCTAAATGGTTATGGCTGCCTTGTCAGTTGGGTTTTATTCTGATCAATGAATACAATTATATCAGAAATTTAATCCCAATAAAAAATGCCTGTGTGAAGCATTCTGCCTTCCATTTTATGAGGCTACTGTATTTGTGAACATACCCAAAATCTTAATTGTATAACAACTATTTACCCGAAGCGTGTATAATACTGGAAGCTTGCAAGCAATTCTGGGTTGAGAATGACTTTCTGAAGTTCAATGAAGTCTTTGTCACGACGATCAAACCATGGCAGAGATTCATCATGATCGTCCTCCTCGTGATCACATTCTCCTTCTAGCCATTTGTGCACATTGCACACATGGTATAATAATGAAATCCACTTATCCTAAATAACACACCAAGAACTATAATTACACCGCTTATTAAGAAATTCTACTGTACAACTCAGCATTGTTGGCAAGACGTAATTAAAGCATGTATTAAGGGGTGGACCATTCGAAAAGTGATGGGGGGGGGGGCAAAAGCAAAAATAAGAATCGAGCAGGGGAAACAGAAAAAAAATTTGAGCACGAAAAAAGTTTAAAAAAAATTCATGCAGAGACATTTCAATAGGAAAAATTGACATAAGTAATGGTGTGAGAACAAAAGTTTCTAAACCTAAATATTGAAGACATTGGTGCAAAAAAGGTTTTAAGCATGTTTTAACAAGAATTTGAGGGAAAATTTGTTTTGAACCCTAACTTCATCGATGTTAGTCTGGGAAATTTTTTTGACCCTTTTTTAGTGTCCTGAAAAAATGTTAACCAAACCCCCACCCACCCCGCCCCCTCACACTTTTTGGAAAAAAAAATTAGAGCAACAGATGATTTAAAAAAAAATATTGACACAAGCAAAAAATTTTGAAAATATAATAGTACAGGTTGGAAATGTCCCACCTCCCTCATCACTTTCTAATGGCCCGACCCTAACATCATTTGCAACCAACATGGGATGGTCATGATATGAAAACACCGCTCTTGATTGATGCAAAAACATCCTTACCTTGGGTTGTTTATGCATACTGTAGATGGTCTATTCCAGGAAATTATTTGACTATTTATACTATGGTATAAATAAAATTTGAGAAACAAAGTAATACCTTCATAACTTTTAAAGCCAGCTTCTAAGTCAGAAGTGGTTTCATCCTTCCTGCACATACTGCTACAGTACCAGAAATGCTTAACAATATGCGATGACCAGTCTTTTATTTTACTCATGGGTTTTGTCTTGCCCAACTGAAACAAGAAAACAATCATGTTGAAATATTCAGCTTACATATTCATTTCAAATCTCTTTTAAAAATAAAATATATTAACACATGTATGCATTTAGCTGTAAGACTCCCCTTAACAATTAAAATCATCTGGTGTTATACAGAGTAAAAAATGATAGTCAGGTACATTTGGGTGTATTGCCGCTCAACTTTATCCTTTTAGTCGGTATAACACCAGGCAATTTTACTCGTCAAGGGAAGAGTCTTGCAGGTTGATGGGTTAAAATATAGAAACAACAACCATAACATTATTCAAAATTGAGAAAATTTAAAGTACAAGACAAGTTATAATGAGTATTATAATGAAAATTTTGTACAATTATATTGCCAGTACAACTCTCAAAAATTTATAATTGAAGAGTTCACAGCATACACAGCACAAATAAATAGAGCAAAACATTTCATACCTTTGCTAGACACTTTTTGATACTTTTGGACTTATGCCAGACATCTAGACTGTGCACAATGGTAGGGAAGTTGTTTTCTGAAAATTGAGATGAATAATATTAGGTTGCACTCCAACCGAATGATTACTATTAAGCGCTAGCGCTATCCCCTTGACAAGTAAAGTCGTCTGGCATTAGAGAGAGTAAAAATAATAAAGGATAGCGCAATGTGACTCATTGGGTTAAAGTTATATGTGTGTTGTACATACGAAGTAGTGCTTTAAAAGAAGTTGATGCATCTGTCACAAATTCCACCACTTTTATGTCTTGGGTCAGCCTCTCCAACCCACGCTTAACAGCTTCCCTTTCCATGTTGGTTGATGCTAAACCAACATGCCTCTTATCTAATATTTCAATGTCGATGATGTAGTTGCTATTGGCTTCAACCATAAAATAGCATAGATTTTTGGCATTAAAACCTGGTGAGTCACACTGTCCATCACCACCAATGACATCATCTTGCCCACCAAATTCGTTCAGAAGTTCTTGCCTTGTCCATGCCCACCACTCATTTATTTCGGGAATCAGATATAAACGCTGATAGCGATAAAATGTTGACTTTGAAAGAAGTGCCAAACCATAAAACTTTGCCATTCTCTCAATTTTGGCAAAACTATTGCCTGACAGCAAGAGAGAGGCAGCTGCTTGTAGGCTGTTCACATAGACTCCCTCCCCAAGTTCATGCGAAGAGCAAAATCTATGTTTGTGACCAGATGAGCAAACAGAATCAATGAATAACGAAGCACAAACAAAACGATAGCTGACTGTTGGTGCATTCACACAGCCAGGTGTTTGACAGCGAGCTTGGAATACCTGGAGTAACAATACAAGGGAGCAGACAAATTTGCTTTCCTTGACCATCTCAAATTCCTGTGGGAATTTGTTTATTTCCTCACCCCTATTCAGTTTACGACGAGGCCCATATGTTATACTGCTGGTACTGGCAAACTCTGGGACTTGTGGTGGGTTTGTTGTTGTTGTTGTTGTTGTTGTTGTTGTTGTTGTTGTTGTTGTTGTTGTTGTTGTTGTTGTTGTTGTCATTGGCAGATCTTTCTGTTCATCATCAACATCAGACTCAATGGAACTGTTTGCAAAATAAGTAACAGATATATCAATTTACCCAGTATTTCAAACAATACTCTATGCATATAGTAAAATGGTTGCATTATAGGCACATTAAGGTGCATCATTGCAGCTTAATGGATTGGAATGAATTATACGTCATACACTATAGATGTGTTGGCAAACATATTGTCCGGTGTTAAGAAGATTTCAATGGCCATATTTATAGATTTTAATGGTAATTAATAGATTTTATAAAACCTCAACCTCGTTCCCAGGGTATTTGCTCTTGGGAAGCAAAGACCCTGGTGGACGCTGGTCACGTGACCATAGAAAATTGATAGCCTCAGAGGGGGATGAAAAGGTCTCATATTACATGTTTCCACTTCCGCACTTCACACTTCGATTGCCAGGAGTGGCCGTTCTGTACAATAATCTTTGAGAATCATATATACTTCAAAATTCTTGCTATAAAATTGGTTTCTGTTTGCCGTTTTAAATTATACAAACATGGTAAAATGCAGATTCTTATAGTAACAGACAAGTCAGGAAATCAAGCAACGAAAACGTATGACCGTAGGGTTTGAAATATTAGCGTTTTTAATATTCTCTCGGGGTTCGGGGGCAATATTTTCATTTCACACGTACGTTTCTGTCCTGGCTCTGGTTCAGATATTTACAATATTCTTATAACATGCCACTGAATTGATGTCATATGAAAAGGAATTTTGTGAGATAGAGGTCTCAAAAGCGACTGACAAAATTGTTTGGAATCCACACTCGACAGTGCACCTTTTTGTCTTTACGAGTACCTGTTTGTTGAGCTAAAATATTGCACAGAATCTCGTATAAATTCTATCGCCATTCACCCTCCCACCTTGAATGCAAAGGAATGATATCCGAAAAGGTTTAGCAAAGTATTTGTAATATAGATAAAACGTAGGGACACTTTGTACCAGATAGTGTATAAATATTATATATACATAATTCATAAACTGTATAATGCCCACCAAGTCTCGCTCATATAATTACTTAATGAGTTTTATTAAGCCTTTTAAAGTTTCTGTTTATACTGATACTGATAGATAGGTTGTTTGCCTCCAGTATCGTTTGGTGAAACTTCTAAAATTTAATTACAGTTACGACACAGTATAGGGGTATACGATAAAGATTAAAGACTTGAAGTTGATTTAAATATTGATGACTCACGGCGGCATTATACAAGTCGAAAGAAGCTGGATTTTAAGCTGGATTATTCTTCAAATAATGGGCATTAATACCAATGCCAATGAAAGGTCTTTATAAGATTTATAATGTTTACTGCAATATATGAAATATGAAATAATTTAGTCTAGTGCATATATCGTCCTAGATATTCAAGTTGTACCGCACACACCGAGGAGTCTTGGCGTGTGATAACAGTATACTGTAGCTGTACTTCGACATATATCATTCTTGATCGTTAAGCTGTTTCAGCAATGTAAATAAAAGGAATTTTACATAACGGGTTTTAATCCTGTGCTTAATTCACAGTCAAAACAGACTAAACAGCACTATTGTTTTATATACACAGTTGGCGATATTCAGTACTTCAGTTGGGAAATCAAAAGATCCAGTTATAAAATAAATCCTTTGTTTTGAATATCGGACAGGATACATTTCAACTATAAACAACCATATCATATCGTTCGTTTATAAATACCGTTTGAACGATCAGTCGGTGTAGAAGATATCAGATATGTACGTTTCTACGGCGATCTGATGCGTGCTCAACTTCGCAAGCCAGGCGCGTGTGGAGTGTTTTCCTTGCAAGTGAAATATGATCCAGCTTCTCGCTTGAAATGTACCGCAGCACTTCAAGTAGTGATGACATTCAGTATAGCAGGAAGTCCTGTCATGATGAGTACAAATTTAGAACAGTATAAATCATGTTTATTAAACGTGTAAAGTGAAGTATGCAACACTAATGCATCTGGCGAATGTCAACTACTACATTCCCACCCCTCCCAGATTGACAAAACAACGCTAATTAAAAATCTGCTAGATTTTAGCAGATCACGTGACCAGCGTCCACCAGGGTCTTTGCTTCCCAAGAGCAAATACCCTGGGAACGAGGTTGATAAAACCTATGGTTTGGTCATTTGACATGAATGGCATACTGTATATGTAAAACACATTTGTAGAGTAAATACGTAGGGTAAAAAAGGCAAACAAATAAGCCACCACCACCGGCCTATACTCTGATAACATACAGTATGGTAGCATACAATACCCATATTTAAAATTCAGACCACTGTATATGAAGAAGAAATACCAAAACTCACTAAATGTCCTCTCCAGATATTCTATCATCTGAATTGTCATCCAGATCCATTGTTGGGTCAGTTGAACTATATAATTATATGAAAATACAAAAAAAAAGTGTAAATAGACTAGAACACCTAAGCTAGATCAGGTACCATACACAGTATGCGAATGTGCATTACACAAACAGACAGTGTTGTTTTTAACACAACAAACTGATTACATTAACTAAAATAAAATTACTGTTAATGAAATAGCTTAACTATAAGACATTTATATATTTATCTTACCCACTATCTTCTGAATCATATTCTCCCAGTTCTCTATCAGCATTCAGGTCTCCAATGGCTGACTGTGAAAGATCATGTTGTCGACTACAAACAAAAGGGACATTAAAAGCATGTATCATGTATCAGGAACTGTATTTCAGTTGCCCCCACATGTGCAAATAATTTGATTGTTATATAAAAGCCTTAAACTATACCTGTACTCTTGCTCAGAGCTGTCTGCAGTATCAGTGCTTTCACCTTCATTATCAGTGAATAATGATGCATTCATATATATATATATATATATATATATATATATATATATATATATATATATATATATATATATATATATATATATATATATATATATATATATATATATATATATATATATATATATATATATATATATATATATATATATATATATATATATATATATATATATATATACGTGAGTATATATACATGAGTTTGACTCGAATGTTGTTAGACGTGTAATATATCGCTCCACATTGTTCTTAAATTTTTTTAAGTTATTTGCTGGAATACTCTGTGGCAAGTATTGTAATCGAAATGCAAGAACTACGGCTTTGCTGGACGGGTGATTTGGAGAAATTGAAGCTTTTTGTAAGCAAGAATGTTGATTTTGTCGGCGTATGGACTTCACCAGGCAATGATAGAAAAAAATACAGTGATGGTTATAGCTCAATATCCTGGAGCAAATCCAAGAAAGTGTTGGAAATAGAAGGCAGAGACAGGAACCTGATAACAGCTAAGTTGTGTACAATGTTATGTAATGATTTCGATCCTGTACAGTCAAGCAAAAGCGACAACTATTGCGAATTCCCTTCCACAAGCAATGAAATGCTTGTTGAATTGGAGGGCGTTAAACTCGATGTAACAATTACTGAGAAAGATATTCGTGATAACAAACATAGCATTAAAAACGTTGAAGATTGCCTTGATAAAGTAGTTGGTAAATTAAACATTATTAACCAACAGTTCGATGTATTTAGGGCAGAGTTTCAGTTGTTGAAAAACCAACATACGATTCAATATTCGCCTAAAGCTGTCGAATATTCAAATTTGGACAACCAAAACACCTCCGGATTGCAAAAACGTCATGAGGAAAACAATAACATAATAGGATCGAATCTAAATGATGACATTGTAATGAGTCGTAATGATGCATTACAATCTCTGGTAAATTTGCGGTCTGAGTGGCTTTCCAATGTTTGTTATGATACTCAATTAAAGCGTCTTGAAAGGGAACTGCATGATGAACAAGATAAAACCAAGCAACTTGAATCTGAGCTAACGGTTGCCGAAACAAAAATCTTACAACTCGAACAGACACTAAACCTACACGAGTTAGAACAAAAGAGTGAAGAAACTGACAATGGGCTTTGTCATGATCATTCCTGCATTATTATGGAGACACTTAGTACTAATTGCATTAGAAATCAACACGCGCCTTCGACTCAAGAGAATACCTGTACTAATAAATATATCACATCTAAAGAATTACCACCTATAACCCTCGAATACCACCAAAACAAGTTGATAAGCAGGAGCCTCAAAAACATGCTGGTCAAGTAAGTCAATTCCCAAAATATACGGAAATTTCGGACAAGAACAGCAACGACAATGCAAAACGACACAAACCATCACAGCGTTACCCATAGAACACCATCAAAGAAATCGACGTGGCGACGAAATAAACATGGCGCTAGAATCAACCAGACTGAGGAGGGTTTTCGCAAGGACAAATGGAAAGCCAATATGAGGTTTTTACAGTATTATTACTAGAACATGATTTTTCCCTACCAGGTCGCCCTACTTCAATTCATCGCGGACAACGTAATTTAAATAATAAAATTCAAATTAACATTAATAAAACTGTTATTTCCAATGCTAATGACTATTTCTACGTTCCGAAACTACTATTGACAAATACGATGTCATTAGCTCCCAAAATTGATGAAGTGAGTTGTTTTGTCACAGAAAAGAGTCCTGACCTTGCCTGTATAACGGAAACATGGTTAAACGACCGTATCTCAGATTCCTGCCTCGATATTCCAGCAGTGGCGTGCTGGCAGGGGGGGCCGGGGGGCCACGGCCCCCCCTGCTGGCAATTCTTGGGGGGCGCAGAAATGAAAAGGGGGCGCCGATCCCGCGCCGAATTTTGAAAGTGGGTGGGAAAAAACGCATTCGCAAAAATATAGTTACCTCCGCCAAGAAAACGACAAAGTGATATATTAAATTACAGACTATTTTGTCTATTAAGCCTTGCTACTTCACGGCGCACACGAAATCATTTATATAGGAACATGATCAGTGATCAAACGCAATGTCTCATCACCGAAATATTGGTCAGGTTTGGAAGAGATCACGGGAATTATGCCCTTTTTTGCTGGTATTATGCCCTTATATTACGCCCTTTATTATGCTTCACGAGAGCGGCGCAAATTAGATAGTTGAAGTTATGATAACGTAAAGTTATAATGAGTAATGTAAGTTATGAAATAATGCTGAAACGCACCCTTTTGGCAGCCAGGCAAGGAAACCTTAAAATGCATATGCGTGGGTTGCAAATTTCGACACGTTATAATGCCGTTTCCTGACCATCAGATTTCTGTCAAATCGTCCTCCAAAGTCCAGGAAATGGCATTTCAGAGACTCTAAATTCAAAAATTTTCCTGGGGGGCATGCCCCCGGACCCCCCTAGACAAACCTCGCACATTCGGCGCTCGGCTCGTGCCTTCGGCCCTCGTTTATCAAGTGTAATATTATAGGGGCGCATATTGTTTGACAGCCCACTGGCCCCCCCAGAAAAATAGTACCCAGCACGCCACTGTATTCCAGGTTATAATTTTGTTCATAAAAACCGCAGTGTGGGTTCCCACGGAGGGGTTGGGGTGTACATCAGGAACACGATATTTTATAAGCCTCTGAATAATCTCCACCATACAGATTACGAAGTTCTGTGGGTCTATTTTCGTCCAAGTAGACTTCCTCGCGGGTTTTCCTGCTTGATACTTGGTGTCGTTTACCATCCACCTAATGCTAATGATGATGAAATGCTCCAATTTCTCTCCACATCACTGATTACTATTGAAAGCACCTATCCTGGCTGTGGGTTTATTCTTGCAGGCGACTTTAATCGGTTAAAATGCAATCGGATATTAACACAGTTCAGTTGCAAACAGATTGTTAACGTTTCCACAAGGCAACCAGACTTTGGATCTA